AGATAAAGTTTAAACTACGAATTCCGATATATAGGGAGTTTATAGGGAGCTAAGAGAAATTGTTAATAAAATGTTCGGTTAAATTGGAAAATTTTTGTACTTTTGTGAAAAAATCTGCTGGTTAAAATTTTTGTGTTAAATAATCAACACATACATGTGTAGATTTAACATATGTCTGCTATGTTAATTGAACTTAACAAATATAAAATGTAAAATTATTAAAATAATTAAAAAAATATGTTAAAGTAACACAATTTGAACGTATTTATTAAATGTGTTAAAATTTACAGAAAAAGAGTGTTGATTTGACTCTTTAACAGAAATAAGAAGTAAAAATTTACAGAAAAGAAGTGTTGATTTTACTCTATAACAGAAGTGGGGATGACTGCGCATATGATTTCGAAAATAAACGTTTCGACGTAGTCTCGACGCGTTTCGACGCCGCTCATTGCCGCGCGGCAAGCGTTTCCGCGTCCCAGGAAACGTATGTGCAGGAGCCAATGGACAAGAGGCGTCGCTAATCGTGGTGACGCCCGCGCCGTGATTAACTATTATGATTGACTATCTAGTCTGGGTAGCTATGGGTTGAGTTATCGTTGGCTCGAAAAGTGCCGAGTGCGAGTAAAGGAAAATCGGGAAGTTGTATGTGGACTGTGGTAACGCTAACGCACGGCATCATGACCCCGGCTGCTGCAGTTTATTTCATTTTAGATTATAATTAAACTATTATTATTTCAGAATGCCTCGTACCAGAGTTAGAAAGACTGATAGAGATGTATCAGTCTATGAACAAGCATACGAAGATTTAAATAAACATCTATTCAAGCAGCTGCAAAGAAATATAAGTTGCGTCATATATCTTTGACAAGATATAAGAAGAAAAGGGAAGAAGCTTCGAAAGATGGTGAAAATTCTGTGGCGAGGATAGGTTACAGAGCATGGAACAAAGTTTTTAGCGATGACCAAGAAAAAATGATAGCAGATTATATAATAAGAGCATCAAATATATATATATTTCGGCTTTTCTCCTATAAAGAAATAAAAAAGTTTGCATATGAGTTGACAAACAAATATAAATTGTCATACCCATCTCAGTGGCAAGAAAACAAAATGGTTAGTAAAGATTGGTTTACAAACTTTATGAAGAGACAACCACAACTATCTATAAGATGTGCACAACCCACCAGTATGTCTCGTGCTACTAGTTTTAACGAAACTAATGTAAATATGTTCTTTGACAATTTGCAGAATGTCATTGAAAGATATAAATTCGAAGCAAAGGATATTTATAATGTTGACGAAACAGGGATCACAACAGTCCAAAAACCAGATAGAATTGTCACTATAAGAGGAACTCGGCTTTTATTTCAATTATTTAATATATATAATAATTTATAAACCTAACACTTTACATGTATATTAATAAAAAATTAACATTTCAACTAGAATGTAAAAATAACATTTTCTTATATTTACATTTAACAAAAATAAAATGTTATGTTAACATAAATCTTTTGTTAAAAAATAAACTTTTAACAAATAAACAGTGTAACTTTTACACATTATACTAATCAAAAGTTTGAGTTGTTACATTTGTAAAATGTAAAAAAACATTTCTTATATGTTAATTTCAACATAAAAGTTATGTTATTTGTACACACAATTAACTTCAAATTACGACCAAAATTACATTTTTTTTCTGTTAAAATATTTACATAGTATCAATGTTACCATTTAACACATCCATATTATGTTAAATTAACACAAAAATTTGCGTGGACCGTTTTGGACATGTGATTTATGTTACATTTAAGGACGTTCTCTCGTCCTTATACTAGAGAAAATCGATTTTCTTGAAACTGTGAATATACGTTAATTTAGGTGTGCTTTATGCGTGGTATAAATTTCAGTACCTCTTCCGGTATAAAAAATCAAGATACTGAGCCTCAAAGTTTCAACTTTTACTAATGAAAAGGTTTTCCAGGCCAAACGGTAACAGATACGAGGTTGGCCAAGAGGACCAAAGTTGCTCCTCTCGTCGATTTCTAATATACCTAAGGAAAAAAATGTCAAAACTAAAAAAAATTAAATTTTAAAATTTTTTTTAAAACTTTGAGGCTCAATATCTTTATTTTTTATACCGGAAAAGGTACTGAAATTTATACCACGCATAAAGCACACCTAAATTAACGTATATTCACAGTTTCAAGAAAATCCTAAGAAAATCGATTTTCTGTAGTATAAGGACGAGAGAATGTCCTTAACACAAATTTTCCAACTGTATACAAAAAGTGCAATAGTTAAAAATTTTTAAATTTTAAATTAAAATATTTCTAAGAAATGACAAAACAACAAAAATCTATTTGATCTCTTTTTATGCTGGGAGCAATAAATCAATAAATTTTCCGAGTTGTAGTAATAAATCCTTTTAATTAAATGCTGGTACGTATAACATTAGTAAAAAAATTCAATAGAGGATCTTTTGTAAGTTTTTAGATAAAAAAATGTTTTTGTGTAAAATTTAACCGATCTCTTTTTATGTTGGGAGCAATAAATCAATAAATTTTTCGGGGTGTAGTGATAAATCCTTCTAGTTGATGGGATATATAACATTAGTAAAAAAATTCAATGGAGGATTGTGTTCTTAGATAAAAGTATGTTTTTGTATAAAAGTTAACCAATCTCTTTTTATACTGAAAGCAATAAATCAATAAATTTCTGAGATGCGATAATAAATCCTTCTAGTTACATGTTGGCATAAAACATTACTAGAAATTAATATAGAATTTTTTGTAAGCCCTTAGATAAAAGAATATGTTTTCGTAAACAAGACGGAAAAGGGTTTAGTGTCCATCTACAAGACAGGTGCTTAAGAGCTAGTCTTTGTTTTTAGAGAGAAATTACATAGGTTCTAAGTCTCAAGTCCTAGGCTTTTAAAGATGGGAGTTGGTCAACACCCTTTGGGTCTAGAGCTTAGGGCTTAGAGCATCGCAAGGAACGCTCAAAGCCGGAAATACGTCACCGTGTAGAGCATAAAGCATAAGGCTTAGGACTTAAAAAAACACCTATTGTAGACGGGGACTTATGGCATAAGATAACTTTTTCTCCGAAATCTTTTCCCTTCCATACGTAAGGGAGGGTGGGAAAAAAATGGGGAAAGCCTCGAATTTGCCAACCAATGCCTTAATTAGACAATTTTTGTCACACTTTTATTCTATAAGTTTTTTGAAATATTTTCAACAGGCTACAAATAGCCTGTAACGCTATAGCTAAGAGTTAGTCCTTACTTGTCCGATCGTACTGGAGTCGTCTTGCACGCTTTTAGTTAGTCAGGCAAGTGAAGTGCTTCGAAAATGTCTTTCCGCGTAATTTTGGTGAAGTTTTTCAAAGTGAGCTGCAATTTAAGCAATCGCTTAAATGCAGATGTGCAACGAGAGTTTGTGGAAGCCGTGACGAACGACAAAGAGGCGAATTATAGACTTTTCGCACGACGTTTCGCGGGTGCTCCAGTACCCAGTTATATGTGATGCATGAACTGGGTTACTGCAAGAGAAATGAAAGATTGGTAGACATCATTTTTTCCATGTTAGAAATGCGCGAAGTTTTTGGCCACGAAGAAGAAGACGCAGGAAGAGGCCATATAGCTAGATTCCTGCGTCGTAACGCCGAAAGAATAGGTAAACGTTAGAAATAAAAAATTGTACCTTAAAATTTTAATATAGTGGTGTTTATTACTAAAATTTAAAGAGCGGCAGTGTGGTCTAGTGGTAGAACGCCAGACTCGTAATCTGAGAAATCAGGTTCGAGTCCACTAGAGACATGAAGCATGGAATGTTTTTCCGATAGCTGCGCCCTTCCGTGCAAGATAGGCTCTTGTGCTGAGAAAACTGGGCTCCGTCTTTCGGAAAGACGTTAAGCCGTTGGTCCAAAGAGTTAAAGTGAGAGAAAAGATAGTAGATTGCGAACCCTGCGGGGATATGCAATAAATTACGAATTTTACAGGAATTTTTTTATTACTAAAATTTAAATTAATTTAATAGTGGAGAACCGCATTGCCGTTGCCCAACCGGTCCGACGAGGACAGAGACGTCGAGCGGAAGAGAACATTGCTGAGGAGAAGGCAGTACCAGCACGTAAGTTAAAAATAATAAAATTAATTAATTATTAAAAATAACGAATATTATAAATATTAAATTTTATAGGAAAAGCTAGAATCGAGGCACCACCCGCAGACATCCCCGTTATCGATTTATCTTCTGGTAAGAGACTATTTAATAATAACACGTAAAAGCTAACACTTACAATATTTGTGTAATAAAACAAATATAATTTATGCTGTTTTAGATGAAGAAGAGGAGGTGGAAGAAGAAGAAGAAGCAGTAGAAGAAGAGGAGGTGAGAATTGTAAGCTCACCCGATTCGGCCGTATTTACGCCATGTAAGTTTTAAAAAATAACTTAAAATAAAAATTTAGCAACGAATAAAAGAAATAACGAAATGTTACATTTTACCAGGAAGGGAAGAAGAAAAAGAACCGGAATTAGACGATATTTTCACCCCGGGCATCGACGAGGTGATCGAACGAATAATGATGGAAGACGAGGAGAGGAGGAGGAGGAAGAGGAAGAGGAAGAGGAAGAGGAAGAGGAAGAGGAAGAGGA